ACCTTTGTCAAGCCATTAAGACATGACAAAGCTCCTGGAGAGTGAAACGTTGCCACAATAAAATGTTGCATTAGTTGCACTAGGGTCCTTTTGCCTAAAATACTGTCGGTAATTCTATCATTATTAATACCCTCTAAAATGTAACATCCCCCCCTCTATTTAACCCTCCCCCCTTTCTTTATACCAAATTTTAGTACCTCACATGCCCCAGGCACTATCACCCCTATGAGTTAAGTAAGTAAGTAAGTAAGTTTATTCAGGTATACACAAATACAGTTACATATAATTATCATACATAGCAGCATATGTGTAGAGAACCTAGGATAACCCAAAAAAGTCAGACAGTGACTTATTTCCATTGGGGTCCTTTTACCTTATTATTATAATATAAAGGTTATAATATTTTTTATTATTCTACAATGAAGATAACATCTTATTATCATACTAAAAAGACTATCTACTTCACCAAGGTCATTAAGACTATCTACAATACGAGGGTCATTACTAGGAATAAGGTAAAATTTACACGTATGTTAGCTAAAAAATAGAAAATCATTCCCCTCCCTTTCTGTAGCTACATTCATCAGACACCTTTTGGCACTCTTCTTGAACTGGTTCATGCTATGACTGGCTTTGATATGTGCAGGTAGGCAGCCTATAGTTGCTTACATCAGACCTACTATTTTTCTTGAAGATAGGAGTAACTCTGGCCTCCTTGAACCCCTCCGGTACGGTATTAGTGGTGATTGATAGATTTATTATGTGAGCAATAGGGATTGACAGTTCAGAAGCACCATCTTTTAGGAACTTAGACGGGATGTTATCAGGGCCTGTGCTCTTAGTTGGGTTTAACCTGCTTAGTTCTTTTTGAATAAAGTCATGAGATACACTTACTAGTTGACAACTGTTTGGGGTTACCCCTTTATTGGTATAGTATGTTTGAAACTTACCAGAGTCTGTGTTAAAGGTATTTGATGCAGCTGGTAGTTTACTTACTAGTGTTGACGCAACAGATGTGTAGTATGAATTAAAGCAATTTGCCACCTTAGATGTTTCATGGCATACCTCTTTATCGATAGTGAGTACTATGTTAGACCTATCTACTGGCTTATGGCTATACCCCAACTGTTTTAGTTGTTGCCAGAGCTTTCTGGGGTTATGCTTATACTCTACAATTTTTGAGCAATAGTGCTTTGCCTTTGCTCCTTTTATAAGTCTCTGTACTCTGTTCCTCACCCTTTGGAATTCATTTAGTGCTGCAATATCCTGTCTGTTTGCTTTAAATCTTTTTAGCAGCTGGTCTCTGAATTTCATCTTATCTAATATCTCAGTAGTCATCCAGGGTTCAGTTCTTCGTTTAATCCTAACCTCTTTAACTGGTGCAATATAATCAAGGATGGTAGTGAACATTGTTTTGAATTTTTCCCAGGCATCGTTTACGTCCGTGCAACTTGTTATCTCTGTCCATCACAATTGTGTAGCCTATTTACCATGTTTTTTTTACTGTAGTTTCTAGTTGACCTCATTTTTATTGTCCTGTGTAGGCCTATCCTATCCCTAGTGATTTTCCTGGTGCAGTAAATGATGAAATGATCACTAAGACCTGTGGTAATGACGCCTGACTGGCTAATGTTCTCAGAGCGGTTACAAAGTATGTGGTCAATTAGGGTGGCTGAGAACTGTGTGATCCGGGTTGGAGTATTAATTAGTTGAGTGTAACTATTTAATCCTAGAATTTGCTTATACCTTTTGCATAGCCCGTTATTTTGCTGCTGAAAACAGATATTGAAGTCGCCCAGTATTATTGTCTCGCAATTGTTTTCAACTCCGGACAAGACTCTGGAAAAGTCTTCTAAGAACTGGTCCTGGGTAGGAGGGCGGTAACTAGTTCCTACTAAGATGGGTTTGGTCTTAGGAAGCAGCACTTCAAACCATAGAATCTCCAGTTTATTGTTATTTAAATCAGGTCTTGGGTTGTAAGCTAAGTCATTTCTAATGTAGGCACATACTCCACCACCCTTTCTGTTCCTATCTAAGCATTTTATATTGTAACCATCTATTTTGACCTCATCGTCAGTCACCGTATCATCCAACAAAGATTCAGAGATGGTTATAACTGCCGCCCTAATTTTGTTAGCTAGAATCCTAATCTCTGCCAATTTAGGAAGAAGTGATCTTGCATTGACATGAATAAAGTGAAGGCCTGTTTTCATAAAACAATCATATTCATCAATATATGGCAATGGGTCATTTGTATTAAAATTAGGTAAATCAATGTCATCACTGCTAAAGGGTAACTGTGCCAAAGTGCATTTGTTACACACAAAATGAATTCTGGCACCGTTGCTATAATTGTACATAAAATCCATCATGCACCCACCCCTTACACATTTTACATAAGGGCCTTTTTCTGTTTTTCATGCATACTTTTAGTACAGTGTATGCACCTGTTTGGTAGTGTTTGAGATAATAATGGCTGTATTGTCTCACATTGAAACCCATGTATGCATTACATATGGAGTTAAGGTTATCATTCCTAGCTACTAGACCGTCATTGTCGCCGTCATTTATCTGTCTGTTTTGCCTCTGCACAATAGTTTGAGGTCTTGGATTAATTTGGATATCACCACTTAAGAGCGCTACAATAAGAGCTGTGTGCCACTGTTTTTGTTTGGGTATGCGGTGGTGCCATACCTTGCGGTGATAGTGATATTTACTTTTCTGGTAGGATGGCAACTGTTGGGCTTTTACTGTCCAGGGCGCTGTTACTCCATTCACCTTTTCCAGCCCCCATGACTGATTTCTTTCTTCATGGAACTGAAGAAGAAATATAAATATAATTATGGCAGCCTGTACCCCCCCTAAATGCCTGCCATTTTCACCTTCGCTCTTTTACTCATATACAATAACATTTATTTCTCTTTTCCAGTCCCTAGTACACTTAGTATCTGCTTTAGCAATCACCACTGAATTACTAGTAAAATTTCCTCTTCAAAACCCTCTTCACTGCTCACTTTTCCCTTAACTTCACAAAACCCTTACAGTTAACCCCTTATTACACACTCCCCTTCCCATTCACTTCACAGTCTGGCTTCCCCAATTAACTTCTAACTCCTTTCCATTCTGGTAGATCAGAAAGGTTTAATCCATGGTTTTATCCTTCCAAATCCCCCTCAATTCCATTTATCAGGGGTTGTGTGGTGTTGTTGTCTCCTGACCTGTTCTGCTGACTCAGCCATTTTTAAAACACTGAGGGGAGTAACGCCACCTACAACCTGACTTTCCTTGAGTTTATAGATATATTTGGCGTTTTCTGCTATGATTCTCTCACTGTACACTGGTCAGCTGAATATAGGTCAGCTACTAAAACATTAACCTTGACTGTTTAACTATTCACTTCTTTCTCACGACTGGCACTGAGGGATATCCGACCTATAACCTAGGAGTTTTGTACTATTGATTTGACGATGTCTCCTGTGTTTCCCTCTCGTTAGCACTGGTACAGGTGATATGATGGTGGTACAGATATGATGCTACTGTCAAGTGTCAAGAGTTTAGTGCTTTCCCATGCACATAAATTGAATGAATATAGCTACCATGTAGTCATTATTATTACTGTATATTTAGGGGTAATACAACACCTCAAGAAAGAAATAAAGATAATCAGGTTCAATCCAATGAAAAAGGGGGATGGACAGGTCCATTTCTTTGGATCAAGAGCCCAGCATCAAGGAGCTTTCCTCATGGAGTACCAAGCAGTCAAAACAAACATATTAATCAACAAATAGGTGCAATGTGCCATCACAGAGTAATATATTTAAAAAAATTTTTGAGTATAACATTTGTTTACAACACTATAACTGTCTTCATGGTGGTCACAACCTGCTTTTAATGCTATTAATGTAATACAAGTGCATATACCTCACTAATATGGTGAGTTGGGCTGCAGAGTGCTGCTGTACAGCGAAAAACAACCTTTTTTCACTTGCTAGTGCATATAAAAGCCTGAAAACATATTTGCACTCTTATTTATTAAGTATTTAATAGCACTAGGTCTAATAAAACAGAGCAAAAGTAACAATAATGTACAAATTTAAAATTGCCAAAAACCATCTAAAGAGCAAGGCAATTGCTTAAAATAATAAACATGAACATAAATGACAAGCGCTGTATTACTGAAGCACCCTAAAGCGAGAGCTGTATTAACGAGGTATGTCTGTACACGCACACATTGATGGTAGTGAGGAATAGCAATGCTCTTTTCAGTCATTAACTCTTATTTTTATTACATTATAGTCATTCTGCAAGGACCTTATTTGACCAGACTACATCTGTCATGTCACAATGAAGCATTTTAATGATGCAAGTACAATCATGATACTATAATATCACCATAATACATGTATTACAGTATTGCAACATGATACCACAGTATTAAGCTATAATACCACAGTACTGCACCATAATACCACAGCACTGCACCATAATACTACTTTATTGCACCATAATCCCTTGGTACTGCTTCAAAAATATCACAGCACTGCACCATAATATCACAGATAATTTCAGGGGTCACTGACCTCAGCCCAAAAAAATCCTGAACCCGTGGAACATCAATACAGGTACTCCTCACTTAACGACAGAGTTCTGTTCCTAAGAGTAGGTCGGTAAGTGAATTAGTCGCTAAGTGAGGAGCATACTACTGTACTGGTAGTGGGTCTGTGTCAACCATCTTTGGATACTGTTTTAATGTCACGGTTGCACCACTTATAACATTTTTAGTATTTTTTTAAATGTTTATACAGTAGTGTACTGTATACTGTAATAAACAAAACAGAGGAAATCAGCTGGTCGTAAGTCTGAGCAATCGGTAAACAGTTAAGCCATTAAGTGAGGAGTATCTGTATACACATTTATTCAGCAGTGTGAAAAACACTGCCTTTTAAAACTAGTACAATGAGCTCTTATTTATCTAAAAAAAATAAAGATTTAAGACTAACATTGTCGAGTTCGGTGGCTTTAAGATGGCACTCGTTCTCAGTCTTGTGTAGCTGTTCCCTTTGTGCCTCAATGACCTCCTGCAGGCGGGTCACCACCTTCAGGTCTATCTCTGGTGTGGCTCCTGTGGGACAAACAATTACAAGTCACTCAGAAACATTAATTCATGGGAAAGTGTAGGAGTCACACAGCACCTGGGAGGAATGGGAGACATTCAGGTTCAAAGAAAGGGGATGGCAAGTTCAAATAACTGTGCAATCCTAAAAAGGGATCCCTGTATTCCATAAGCCCAGCCTCCTTTATCTTAACCCTTTGACTGTTTCGGTTGTATATATACGTCTTATGAGCCAATGTGTTTGACGTATATATGCTCAAAAATTCTAGTGGCTTCAAATCAAGCAGGAGAAAGCTGGTAGGCCTACATGTGAGAGAATGGGTCTGTGTGCACCATATAAAAAAAATCCTGCAGCACGCAGTGCATAATGAGAAAAAAAACTCCGGCCATGTTTTTGGATTAAAACGCCGACTCTGAGGTGTATTTTTGTATAGTTTTTATGTTTATATTCTCGTTTTCGTAGTTACATTTGATAGAATGGAAAACATATTATAGAAATAGATGTGATTTTGATTGGTTTTCTTATGAAAAGGACCTTTAAATGGAGTTCAAAGTAGGGGAAATGTTTGATTTTTGCCAATGTTCAAGAGTAAACAAATGATGTCATTGTCCAATAAATGTCCAACTAGCCATTGTAATATGCAGTCACAAATAGGTTGATGTTATTTATACAATTATTACAATATTGCAGTAGTCTGCATAACAGTAAATCTTCTATTTTTTGGGTGAATAAAAATTCAAAATAGAAAGCAAGAGGATTATAATAGGGGCCTGGAGACTGACTGATGAACAGAGAAAATGTTATTTTAGTGCCAGAAATGTCTGCATTGTTCATTCTGGACCCTATTTTGAAATTGACACATTTTTTAATTTGCATGAAATTGGACAAATTGCTAATTTCTGACCACTTTATTGGGTAGTTGAAATCGGTAAATGGGCAGTTTCTTGTACTCAATCGATAGAACACATGGAGTTCTAAAGAAACAGTCATGAGTTTGGTCAGCTGGAACAACAGAATTAGCCAAAAATAGGGCTCAAATTGGGAGAAATCACCGATTCGTAAATATTGCCGAGGTCGCTAACTTTACAAGAGCGTAATTCCATAAGTTTTCCATTAAATTTCGTACTTTTAGTGTCATTACCATCGGGAAAAGATTCTCTATCATTTCATAGGAAAAAAATTTTTTTTATTTTTTTTTTTAAATATTTTGCGACACCAGGAGACACCTCAGGATTTGGGGTTGCGACAGTGAAAGAGTTAATGCAATGCAAAAAGAATATTGAAGGGTGGTCATAAAATTCCTATGAAGCAAAACATAAATATGTACGTATACTGTACACTACATAAGAATTTTTTAAATTTTCAACCCAGAGGGTTAGTCACCCAGGATAACCCTATGAAGTCAGTGTCATCGTGGACCATCTTATTTCCATCGGAATCCTTTAATCTTCTCCTATAGTCAATTAACACCTAGGTACCTACTTACTGCTAGGTAAACAGGGGCAGCAGGGATAAGGAAACGTTTATTTCCACCTGTGCTGGGCATGCAGGAATATAACTAGAATTAAAGTTAAGAGGACTGGTCAGATTGTGCACCCTCTTCCGCTACACAGAGCGAACAAGTTAGTCAATGCTTGGGCTGCTACATTTAGCTATGACAATCTTCCCTGTACCATACAAATGAAATTAATGGACAAAGATGATACCAGGGAGCGACTGATTTGTTTTAAGCTCAGGTTTGAGCTCGATGCTGCACTAAGGATAAATCCACATCACCTTAGAAGGATGCTCTTGCTTACAGCATACATGTACTTAGATTGTCATGCCGAGTACCAGGTAATCTTTCACTTGAATTATACAACATGAGCTATGTAACTGGGTAGCTCCCTAAATCATGCACCAATAGCCTCATCATTCCCATTCCAAAACCCAATGGAAATAAGTCACTGACTTTTTTTGGGTTATCCTTGGTAATCTACACATATGCTGCTATGCTTAACAATTCACGAACAGGCAAAATTATTTACAAACATTGTCTCTACGTCCACAGCAGGACTTGAACCTGCAAACTCTGTATCAGACCCCAGACATCTAGGGTCTGGCTCTGTGGTAAAGTACTGTGGACTCTGATACAGAGTTTGTGTTTGCAGATTCGAATCCTGCTGTGGATGTAGAGACAATGTTTGTATATATTACTGCTATGTATGATAATACATGTAACTGTATTTATGTGTACCTATACCTGAATAAACCTAATCACAATACATTTGCTTAATCAAAATACATTTTGTCAAATATCTCTTACTACAGTAGTTGCTTTGTATAAAAAACATCTGAGAGGTAGATTCTAAATCATCTCATGCACAGAATCAAATAATGTCTGTTTGGCTTCATGCATGGCTGGAGTGTTGATCACTGCATAACCACCTTTCTCACCCTGCACATTGACAGCTCCTACACTACCTTCCTTGACCTTAAATCTACCTTTGATACAGCTAAGCTACATGTTATCGTTAGTGAACTTGCCAGGATGGATGTAGGAGGATGACTTCTGATGGATTAAAAGTTACAATTCAAAAAGTTTTTCGTTGTTGTTCCAAGGGCAACTCATTATTGTAATTACAGAATCTCAATGTAAACTTGCAAGGAAATAAAAATTGTATTGTAGTGTATTGTAAAGACTGAATTAGAAACCCCACAGGGAGGTGTCCTCACTCCCACCTTATTCAGTATTTTAATTAATGCTTAACTAATTGCCATGCCAAGCCAGCCCGGCCATTATATGATTTGCTTTGCTGATATAATGATTCACATCACAACACCAGATACTCTAATACCTTTGTCTGATTTTTTTTTGGGGGGAGGGGGGGGTTATCCTAAGTAATTTACACTTGTTAAATTATTTATGACAATTGCACTTACGTGTACCATATACTGTGCTCATGTCAAGACTGCACTTCTCCTCGACAGAGAGTCTGAAGGACCAAGTTGCATGATGGTTTTTGGCTAGAATATGTAACCAGATACAGGCACTCAGGATTTGAGGTCCCACTTCTTGGACTTGTTGTAACAGACTTTATTGCAAATACAAAGAAAGGCTGAGAGCTCTTAAGAGCTGTGGTAGATTTTCATCCCCGATATGGTAATGTTAAAATTGTGAAACATTATGTACATATTTAGCTTACATTAGATCACTGGTTATGCCACACCCCGACTTGCTCTTGTGTCTGACTGGAAGCTTGGAGGGCTGGAAAAATTGCAGAATGAAGTAATGAGGATCATTCTAGGATGCCCTCATTTGCCAAAATTCTAAACGTGCCGAAACAAGTTCATAATCAAAGCATCAGATATCGTGTCACTGAAAAAATGTCTGACTTTTTTGGATTATCCTAGGTGATTCACACATATATGTTACTATGTAGGATTATGTGTAACTGTATCAATAAAATAATAATAAAATCATTTTTCAATGTGTATCTATCCCTAAATATACTTACTCACTGGGGATCAACATGTTCAGGAAAACCCACTCAAACTATCCCTCATTTCCCCTCAAAAAAATTCTTAAATCACAGCAAAAGCTTTGCCATGAAGCCAAGCAGGATGCCTTAAGCTGCCAGATGCCCCATGGGTTAGAAGAAACACCAGACCACCAATGAAATAACGTAAGCTGCTATCGCCCAAAAGCCTCCCTTCCTTACCTCTAACATTATGGACTCATCATTTATCCTTCAGGACGAAATCACCATCATCATCATCACTTGTCTTGTATTTTCCCCACCAGGAGTTTTGAACAAAGTCACTTTGAGATAACGCTCATCTCCAAACCTCCCAAAAATGAAGTTTCCTGAAGTCGACTCTACAAGAACTCTCAAGATCATCAACCAGGACCTCCACCCTAGTATATTTACCCCTTAATTATCCATGTAAGTGAGCATCAATGTGCTCATACCCCTGCAGTAAACAAGTAAGAATATTTAGGCACAGGTATATGTAAGTACAATTATCATAGTGTAAATTACCTATGATAATTCATCTCTCCATTCACTATCCCAGGACCACAAGATGCCATGTCTTCCTCTCTCCCTGGCACCCACTGCTGACACCTTTGTCACAGAAGCTCAAGCCGCCATCTGTCACAGAAGTTGCTGAAGGCATCATATGCCGTTTTCCATGAATAGAGAGATTAAACCACCGTCAACTAGAGCCTAGCAGTGATCAAAGCCGACAGCCACGTCCCTGGCCGTGACGGGTAAAAAACTTTCTTTTACACCACATCCAAGGAACTATACACAAGACTCTGCAACACTATTGTAAAATTCGCCAGCAACCCTCCCTACATCTCAATTAGTAAGTTTATTTACATACAGATACACATAAACACACAAATTCTCATGCATAGTAACGTGTGTAAATTACCTAGGATTACCCCCCCATTGGGGTCCTTAATTTTGTTAAACGACACATCAATGATAACATTCCCCTCGGTACAGTACTTCACTAAGCATTTACTTGGGAAGATGCTAGTTCAGACTTTGCCTTTGTGGTCTTGTAAGGATTCAATCCCTACGATCACAACACTGTCCTCTAATTATGTATTATTATTATTATTATTATTATTATTATTATTAAAAGACAGGCGTCAAGCCTTTTATTTGTCATCAATATGACCATCTCTCTGGTCAAATTCAAATTTATTTATTTCTTTGCAAGTAGTACATTGAGATTATGTATTTACAATAATGGGCTGCAATGCAAAGAAAGCCTCTATCATGCTTAGGCATTATGGGCCGACTTAATTTATTGGCTTATTTACTACTTAACACTAAAGAAATTTATCATAGTTGTACAGTAAATCTATTAATTATAAGTGAATCTAATTTATATAAACCAAAGGATATATTCCTATATTCAAAAATGCTTTTTGTGAAACATGATTCAATTATATTCCTGTCGACAATGGACAATAGGTTCAAAAGTAAATATTGAAATTATGTTATGGGAATAC